GTTCCATACTCACATTGATCGCTGCTTACTTCGGATGACAAGGGATTATGTAGCTAAAGACAGATTTAAATGGTTGCATATGTTTGCGTCTCAAGAATTTCTGATTGCACAATACAAAAATCCTCTGCACTGAACTCATGAATTAAATTGTCCACAATGGTTCATACTGATTTAGCCCTGATTCAGCTGGTCTTCTCGTCTTTCAGATGGGCATTGATTTATGAAATCTCATCGAATCTGAAACTGGTGTTCACATCTTTACATGACTTGGCAATGATACATGGTTTTATGTCTCGTATGCGAGTGCAGGCGGGGGAAACATGTTTAGGACTTCGATACATATTGATTCTAACTGAGGATTTTTGAAGAACCGCGTTGACGCGTTGCCTGGTTTGACAACGAACTGGGAACTTGAATATTCTAATTCAACTCTACCTGTACGCCAATCATCATATGAGTTGCGTACCAGACTATAATTGAAATCAGTTATATGTGCGGAGACGGACTATATCGTGCGCTGATACAAGCAGGACTCCATCCACTGCATTATGGCGTTAATTTGCCTCAGTGGAGATGTGCTTTCACTGTATCCTGAAGGTCCTGAAATCGATATTCGACATAGTCAGGAATGCGTATGGCTGGAGAGTATAAGACAGGAAGGAATAACTGTTCCGTTGATTAGTAATTTTCAAATGAGGCAATAATGGATTCATGTTCATGACGAAATCTAACATTCAGTCAACTGGATCTCTCGAAAGCAACAGAAGAAGCGCTATGCTCAGACCTATAGACCATTTCTGTGATTTAATTAACAAGAGAATGCAAGCATAAATAAGACAAGCACTTTATAGCCAAGTGAATATAAACACTAAACAGTTGAACGTCACTGCATATACACCGCTGGTACTAAGTTTTATAAATAAACTCATTATCACTTTGAGTAAAGTCTCAAAGTCTCCACCTCAACTTTGTAGACTTTGAGAAGGTCTTCAATAGCGTTGACCGCGAAGTAATTTAGGAACTACTCAAGTACTACGGCGTACCCCAAATATTCATCAACCTTATTCAACAGCTGTACGACAACGGCACATGTCAAGTGATCCATAACGGAAAACTCAGCGAAGCGTTTGGAGTAAACACAGGAGTCAGACAAGGGTGCTTATTATCACCAATGATATTCCTTATTGTGGTGGACTGGATTATGCGTCAGACAGTGGGAAACGAGAAGACAGGGATATCCTGTCCTGACCGACGTGAAGAACCTAGAAGACCTGGATTTCACGCGTGGATGATTTATGTTTGATGTCACGCAAAATCGAAGACTTACAGGCGAATACCGACAAACTGGTCGAAGACGTAGCAAAGACAGGAAGGACTCCAGGTGAACATAGACAAGACGGAGGTTATGAAAATAACCAACCAACAAAAACAACAGCAACATCCAGTGCCAATCACCATCAACGGGAAGGATTTGAAAGAGGTTACTTCTTTCACTTATCTAGGGAGCATTGTCTCAACCACAGTAGGAACGAACGAGGATGTCAAATCGAGAATTGGGAAGGCGATAAACACATTCATCAACCTGAAACCAATCTGGAAATCTTCGTCACTCAGCCTGCATCAACAACAAAATTCGGATTTACAATACAAACGTCAAGTCAGTTCTTCTATACGTATCAGAAACTTGGCGGCGGGTCACAAAGAATATTTCCAACAGCCTGTTGCAGACATTTATCAACAACTGTCTTCGCTGGCTCTATACTGAAGATAAGATTCCCGGAAAGAATCACCAACAAGAAGCTATGGGAAAAAACAAACAAAACAAGAACCAATCGCCAAACAACAAATATGCAGGAGAAAGTGGAGATGGATTGGACACTCGCTGAGGAGATCGCTGGGTGACATCGCGCGTCAGGCCAGTGCTTGAGTAGAACTCGAAAGGGAAGCGGCGAGTGGGACGTCCAAGGGAGACATGGAGGAGATCGTGTGAAGAGGAGCTGAAACAGAATGGAATAACATGGATGAGGGTGAAAAATACAGCAGAAGACAGAAGCAAGTGGAGGCGTGCAGTTGAAGCCCTATGTTCCACTAGGAACCCAAGGGAAAAATAATGTATATATATCACTTTGAGTAATCTTTCTGCATGACGTTTGTCAGGTTTTAAAATTTCCTGGCCGAATACATGAAAATGCACAAATTGCATATTCTCGTATTTCTATCCTGATGCCATAAATTATGGGCTATTTTACATTTAAGTAATGAACGCGAGCAGTATCACGTACAAACGTAAGTGCATATTACACACCGAATTTTTTCTAAAATACTTCAAAATTTTTACACCACAATAATCTTTGTATTTTCACTGCGTAAAACCTTTGAAAGCAGTTGGTTGTCAACTGTTTCAACAGACTAAATGAAGGTCATTCAGGCCAAATTTATTTAAATCCTGCATATATACATATGGAACTGATGTCCGTAAACGTTCTCTATTCAATAGTATCTATTCGCCCTATTTTCTTTCTTTGTATTTTATCGTCAAGGTTATCATTGCGAATTATAGTTAGAAGAGTAGGTTCACAAATCAACTAGTTAGGAAGTTCGTCATCTCATGAGACTCGCAAACTACCAGGTCACGCTAACAGTCATATTAAAATGCGTCTGTCACTCTCTGATAACGAACTGTTTATAAGTGGTATAAAGACGTCGATGTGGGATGCCGCCATTTTGATGAAACCCATTACTCTGCTTTACGGGTTTGCTTTTATCGCAGGTGGAATTTGAGTTGAGAATCGACCAGTGCCAAGTCACATTCGAGTAACTACCTTGAATTTTCATTGTGTATTCCTGGAAATTTTGTACGCCTTTCGTGTCTAACAGTTAAAGAAGGTATGTTGACGAATTTGTATTCATATACAATGAATAAATTATTATAATATTAGTGCGAAGAATAACTGTCTAAGAGCTATAGTGGTTTCTAATATCAGTATTGAGATTGCAAACTGTTAATATTCTTTCCTCATACGAAAATGGTCTATGTTTATCAATTATATGAGCTTATCATTCGATAGCTCTGCTACAGTTTGATTGTCCCTCAGCTGACCATACAGTTATCAGAAATTGATGAAGTTTGGGCATAAACGTATTCCTGAGGTTATTTAGCATTTCTTGTGAAAAGGTTTTTTTTTACTTAGGTTCATGTAGGTCTGGTGAAGATAGAAAATAATCTTTGAATCTTTGAAATACGTTCAAACTAATTGGCACACCGTCTACTGAAAATATCAGGAGAGTTGCATTCAAATAATTCAGGTAGTAACGCCACAGAAAGTTCTGTGAATGAAATGACCTGACTAAGACTGATTAATTGCGTTCGAAATGTTACTCAATAATTGTGACTGAATCATACTGTACTACTTCAAATAAGTGTTTATGATTTGAA